CCCGGCTCCACCATTCGGATGTGGCCGAGCGTGCCGCGGGCTTTTTCAAACGGCTGCTTATTTTATTATTTTTATTTGTCGGTTTGTCGGTTGTTTTTTCTTTCAGCGTGTGAAGCAACTGGCCCAGGGGAAGAGGACAGACGCCTGGACTGCCCTGTCCTCCCCGTCCCTCGAAGGCTCTGGGCTGCTCCGGCTGCGGGTTCCCCTTACGCTTCGGCCTCACCGGCTGGCGAAGGACCGCAGGGAGAGCCCCGGCCGGGAGACCGCATCCAGCCTCCTATCAGCGTAGTTTTCCTTCCGTCAGGCAATTAAACCCGGAGGTGGGCAGCTGGATGTAAGATTTGTGCATCCCTCAGGGCAGAGAAAGCTGCAGCTCAGGTTACCGCCTTCCTGCTGCCCTACAGCAACCTCCCAAGGTCCTCCAGCCAAGGGAAGGGAGTGGGCAGGAGAGAAAATACAGCTGAAGGGGGGCTGCCTTCAGCTGCTTGCTCTGATCGATGGAGGAGCCCGGGAGGGAAGCGACTGCAGCTTCTGCCGGCTCCAGATGATGCCGCATAGTTTCCCTTTTAAAAGCGTGAGCTGGGCTGGAGAAATAAATATTTGCGTTACAATTCCTGTTGGAAACGAAAGGCTGTGTTTGGAGAGAGGGTGTCAAACGGAAGTCACCGGGGCCAGCGCAGTTTGTTGCTGTGACTGTTTTATTTGCTGGGTGCGATCCGGCTCCCAGCTGTTCCCTGCCCTGCTCCCGACTGGAACAGGCGGCAGCTTCGGCAGTGAGGGGGGGGGTGGCTGTGGGGACCAGCCAGCCAGCCCTCGAGCCCGCATCCAGCGCGGGGCGGGCGCGCAACCCGTGGAGGGGGCCTGGGGCTCTGGGGGACAGCCAGCCAGCCCTCGAGCCCGCATCCAGCGCGGGGCCCAGCCGCTTCCCTCTGCCCTTTCTTCCATTTTCTCCGAGTTAGGTGCAAAGGCTCTGGCTGCGGGCACGGTGCCAACGCAACCCGTGGAGGGGGCCTGGGGCTCTGGGGGACAGCCAGCCAGCCCTCGAGCCCGCATCCAGCGCGGGGCCCAGCCGCTTCCCTCTGCCCTTTCTTCCATTTTCTCCGAGTTAGGTGCAAAGGCTCTGGCTGCGGGCACGGTGCCAACGCAGTCCTC